ACCTTGTCCTTCAATAGCTTCTGCAATTTGTCACATAGGACTCCATACAGCAGCTTTCTGTTTTCAATGTATCTCTACAATACAGCAGAACTGTTGGTAAAGAGAGCATATTGCTTTCATTTTCTGGGGCTGATTATATAGTGAGACCTCCTCAGCATGTCACCTTCTTCTCCTGCTTCTCTGATGTTAGTACAAAATTTTTGCCTACAGACCAGTTTATGATGACTTCCAAGATCCCTGGGCAATTGGGGTTTCCTATTCAAGCTAGCCATGTGATCTGCATGACTCACTTCATGAAGCATCAGTGGCATATGGGAAATATCCTTTGAACATCCAACCCAGCACTGGCAGTTGAGGCTCCAGGAGGAGCTGTGCTTTGATGTCAATCATTCTGAAGCAGCTCAAACCCCTTCATAAGCTGCCAGGATATCTTTTTCAGTAGGGGTGTAGCAGCCCTTAGATTCCTGACTCTGGAACCCTAGGGCTTGTCCTCAGGTCTCCCTGGATATCTTTTGCCAGACACTTCAGGAAAGACCATTTTCCCCCCAGCTGCGGTATAGGGCACACTTTTCACATCTTATCCTGTCTTGATTGGCCCCAAGGGCTACTGCATGAGCAGTCTTTTGTTTGATTTGTTCAAAAGCTTGTTGTTGTTCAGGACCACACTTAAAATCATTCTTCTTAAAATCATTGTTCTTCACTTGATAGAGAGGTCTTACAATCTAACTAAAATCTGAAAAATACATCCTCCAAAAACTTCTATCAGTTAGGAAAGCCTGTGTTTTCTTCTTGCTGGTTGACGGGGACATATCTGCTATTTTTTTTTGCCTACATCCATTGGAACCTGACAACACTCATCTTGCCATTTTACTCCTAAAATCTGAATATCCTGGGCAGGTCCATTGACCTTACTCTGCTCTATGGCACAGCCAGCCTTCAGGAGGACTTGGATTGTCTTCTTGCCTTTCTCAAAAACTTCCTCTGCTGTGTAACTCCACAGAATGATGTCATTAATGTGTTGCAAGTATTCTGGAGCTTTGCCCTTTTTCAGTTCAGTCTGGATCAGTACATGGCAAATAGTGGGGGTTTTAAAATCCCGGAGCAGTCCATTTCAGGTGTACTAGACATCCGTCCAGGTAACATCACACTGTTGCCTGCACTTTTCTGCTAAAGGAATGGAGAAAAGTGCATTAGCAATGTGAAGAGACACCATTTTGCTGCCTTGGGCTTCAGTTCATAGTGAAGTTCCAGCATACCCAGCACAGCAGCACTCAGAAGTGGTGTCCACTCTCCAATGGACTTATGCACTGGCCACGCAGTACTAATAAAGGGTGAGCGAGTCTTGCTGACCACTCCTTGGCTCTCTGGAGGATGAATCATTTCATTCATGAGGAATCACTGCGGCAGCCACTCTCTGGTCACAGAGAGCGACAGGCACAAGTTTCCCAGGCATTGTCCTGGGGAAGGCTGTGAGAAGATCAGAGAAAAGAATGATAAACAATTCTTATCTTCACTTGCTGCACCTGTTTTTGTGAACATGTGGAATGTGTTAAGGAGATTTGTTTACCAAAGGGTAACTTCTTAATTGGCCAATGGTGATGGCATTTGGATTCAAGGACCAATAGGATCCACTTGTATCTGATTGTCTGTAAGGGATATGTTTTTCTTAATAAGTATAGTCTAATAAAGCAATTGATCAGCCTTCTGGAATCATGGAGTCAATGTTAATTATTACCCAACCAGGGCCACCATGCTATGACAAAACATGGTGTCACTGTTTGTCGCGCTACTGTCAAGGCTACATTGTCATGGCAGTGACTGTTAGCAGAAGGGTCCTCTGAGAGATCAGGGAAGGTGTTCAGCTGTCCAATTTCTTCTGTCTCCACAGCAGCTGTGGAAACACCAAAAGCCCAATGATGCCCTTTTGGGTCCTCAAAATACCCTCTCCTAAGGTAATCTATGCCAATGATGCACAGGGTTTCTGGACCAGTCACAGCTGGGTGTTTTTCCATTCATTCCCAGTCAGGCTCACTACAGCTTCCATTACAGCCACCTGTCACCCCAGAAACAGCAAAAGATTCTGCTCCTACATATCTCAACAACATCAGGGTACATTGTATGCTGGTGTCAACTAAAACCTCACATTCATGTGGGTCTGATGTTCCAGGCCGTGGGATCCATGAAGTCAAATAAATCAGACTGTCCCTTTCCCACACCTGGCTGAAGGTAGGGCCCCTCCTGTAACAGTACTTGTTACTTATTTCTTGTAAGCATAGAGATCCCTTCAAGAGCATTGGAAGTAGCATCAGCCCTCCTATTCTCTCTGATGTCTTACTCACTGGAAATTGGAGCAGGATTTATCCTTGAAGAATTTCCTGCAGTAGTTGAGCTTCCTTTCAATTCACACAGCAGTGCTGCTAGGACAGAAGTGGGTTTTCCATCCCACCTCCATATATCCTCTCCATGGTTATGCACGTAAAACCACACGTATGGTGTACCCTCTGTCTTGAGCAGGACAACACTTGTTGCTAATAGCAGAGACTGGTCTGTACTGGTAGGGCATGGGACATTTCTTTAAATTGCTGATAGCCCTGTCTGAAATTCCAGGAGGTCCTGGGGCAGTCTTTCTATGGACAAGATGCAGGCCCATAGGGAGGAAGGTCTTTGTTCACTTTCTTTCCATGATATCACTGTCAATGAGTTCATATACAGCAATGGTGCACTTCCTAGGAACTTCCACCACATGCGGTGTTTGTGTACACCAGACTTCATCTGGATTTATAGGGAATTGCTCATTATTTGAATCCTTACAAAGTACCTCCAGCACAGCTATTTCTCTCAAGTACTTTTCTCCATGGTGTTCCACTTGTCTCACTGCACTAATAGATCACTCTTGTTAAGACACAAGACACTCCCTATACTTGACAGTAGTTACCTCCTGAGGCTGAGACGCTGTTCTCTTCCCAATCCCAATGCACGCATTCCAAGACACAAATCCCAGTTGCTTGGCTTCACTACCATTTGGTTTCATATCGTGGGCCACAATATCCCAGTATTAGACCAGCCACATCATCAGGGGCTACCCAGCTGGTGGCTGAAATCTTTACTCATACCTCATAGCTCACCCAGAGACAGATGTCAGGTGATTGCCCTGCTTCTTCCTCTTGTGGAATGCCCTACTGCCTCTTCATCCCTTATGCCAATTGATTCCGTCTTGGATTTCTTCTTCTGTATCGGAGCAACTGCTACCAGCACATGTTGTTCCCCTGGATCAGCTGCAGTTTGAGTGGCCACAGTGCCTGTTGATATGCTTTCCTCCCTTCCCACTGATGGTGCTGTCTGGTAATGAGAAATGTCCAATAAACAGATGCCAGAGCCCCGCACATTGAAAAACTTCATTCCTCTCTGGAACTGCCACGGCATTTCTTCTTTTGCATATTTTATCACTTCAACAGAGTCTTGTAGTTGTTCAGGGGTGAACTTACAAACCATTGGAGCAGAATAGTCCTTCAGAAGCTGGCCCATTTTCTCCTACCTTCCATGCCACTCATGATGACCCACCCTCAGGGCAGATCTCTGAAAGACCCGCCAAAAAATATCTCCTGTAACTAACATGGTGTGGACCAGACTGAGGAGAGCTGGCAGACCTAGCCACAAGAACAAGCTTTCCTTAATATCCAGGGGGAATTCAAAATTTTCAAAAACTGTTGTAAGAGGTCTGAAAGAGAAAAAGGAGATGAAAAGCTTGGGAAAATCATTCTCCCCTGTGCCCCCCACAAACTGGATATGATTATTAATGCACTCCCAAAGGTAATGCTGGAGGTAAGGGCAGGAGAGCAGTACTCAATACACATCCAAATGACCCTCACTGTCCTTGATGTTACCACATCATAAGCTTGTATCACATAGTACACCAACAAAACAATCCTGACCCCTCTCCCTGATCTGAAAAATATCATGAGGTATGGAAATATATAAAGTTAGGTACCACACTACATGGACAAATTAAGCAACATTGTGACCAGTGGCTCTGGACCTAATGCAACAAAATGCTTAGATGAAATTTGTTTCAAACCCACTCTGAGCAGACCTGTTGCTATCCTAACCTTTTGTGCCTCACATTGGGTGCCAAATAAGACTATCATGGTTCAGAAATGGTGTTTTCCAATTAGTATTCTCACTGAAACACTCCAAACCACACACACTGCTCAAGCACTACCCCTCCCCCTCTCCCTTGCAGCAGGCTGGAGAATTGGATGCACAAACAGTAACAGCACCAATACAAATGACAGAGAGTACAAGTAAACAAAACCTAGACAATTCACACACAATTGCTCACAGACCTCTCCCATTCTTCCTCCCCCTACCTCCCAGAAACTTCAGCAAAACCTGAGCACTCCCTCCATCATGCTACCTGACGATGAAGGAAGCCCTCCCCCTGTCCCTGAAAAATAACATGAGGTCATACAAAATAACCTTTGGGTCCAAACCATGCCCTGTCTGGCTACTGCAAAATTTAACCTTATGCTGGCCAGACCTCAGACATTACCTATCCCTTATTTGGTATAGCACTTTTTTGAGTGCAGAACAATTTAGAATTACTTAGGCATTTTCTTTATAGCAGATAGTTTTACAGTTGTGCACACTGCCTGCCAAATTAGAGGGCAAGATATTTTAATGCCAAATTACAAATACTCCCCACAGTTATTTTTATAAAGAAAAGAGCAATACAGGTCTTACTGGACTTGGTGATGCTATAAAATGAGAATGCTGAGAGCAATTGTTTTGAAAACAATTTGCTCCTATAAACCTTTTTGTTTGAGTTTTACAAGATTTTTTTTATTCCCATGAAAGCCAAAAATGATGACTAAATTAACCTAAATTATTCTGTAGTATTTCCAGGCATTTCATTAAATAATTTTTTTTACAGCACAAAACAGGTCAGAAACTGTAAACTAGATGTCATGTCAATAGATTTTCATTCCATACAATTAACTCACCATAATATCTCCTTTCAAAAGCTGGGCAGGGTCTATAGCAATGCAGATTCGACTTTGATTTTCTGACTGTATGCTACTTGACAGAAGAAAAAAAAATACATGGTTTAAAGACAAAAAAACATAAAACAAAGAAGAAACCCACAAACAAAACTAAAAAAGGCTATGTAATTCTGCAATCATGGAAATTAAAACCTAAACCAAATCATAGTGGAAAATGCTTACAACTTACTATATTCCAGATGTATAAACTGGCTGCATAGCCTGGTATAACTTCAGAAAAGGCCAACAAGCTGAAAAGAATCCAACAAAAAAGAGTGTTTTGTAACACTGAGATATAGGAAAACCACTACAACTAGGAAGTTTCATTCACAACCAGACTGAGCAAAATGGCACATAAGTGGTAATGCTGGACTGTCAAAATACCCTTCAAAGCAAAATTGGCTAAAAGGTATTTTATTTTATTTTATTTTATTTTATTTTAGACTAGTTCTGAATTCAATAGGAAGGGACTTTAAGGGATTCTAGTAAGGAAGGAAATAAATTCTGCAAGAAAATGAAATTAATAAAGGAAGAATGATAATGGCCAAAAGAAAGCAAACCCCCAATATAAAATAAAAACATTTTCCAAATAAACAGATTATTTGATCTTCAGATTTTTTTCAGAATTAATAAGGCTCTTAAATTTCTAACTAGAACAAACAATACCCTAACTTTATTAAAGCAGTTATTTTAGAAATAAAAAAAGATTAAACAACAATGAAAATATATTAATTTCAAATTCATGCTGATTATATTACAAAAGACCAGTGCTATTTTACCTTCGGATAATAAAAATGCAGAAACAAATCATAAATCATTAAGACCTCTAAGTTCATCAAGTGCAACCACTAAAGTTTATTCCTTCACTGTGCTCTAGCACATTATCTCATTCTATCATTTTAATTTTAAATCCACTTAAGACAGCAAACCACATTAGCAGCAGTGGTGAGGCCACACTTCAACTACTGTGTTGAGTTCTGGGCCACTCACTTCAAGAAAGACACTGAAATGCAGTAGTGTGTCCAGAAAAAGTCAAGAGAGCTGGTGAAGAGTCTCCACACATGTCCACACATATGAGGAGTGGCTCAGGGACCTGGGTTATTTAACCTGGAGAAAAGGAGGCTCAGGGAGACCTTATCACTCCATATAACTCCATATAACTCCTTATCACTCCAATCTCCTGCCTGAAGGGAGATTGTAGCAAGGTGGGAGTCAGACTTTTCTCCTGGGCAACGAATGATACAATAAGAGGACAGAGCCTCAAGCTGCACAGAGAAAGCTCCTTTTGGACAGCAGGAAGAATTTTCTCACTGAAAGGGTTGTTAAACTTTGTAACAGAATGCCCAGGGAAGTGGTGGAATCACCATCCCTGCAGGTGTTCAAGAAACAACTGGACATGGCACTTAATGCCATGGTCTCACTGACAAAGTGATGATGGGTGAAAGGTTGGACTCTATGATCTTGGAGGTCCTTTTCCAAACGAAATGATTCTGTGTAATTCTGTAAGTACACCCTATCCGAACAGCTTATCAACACAAAATCCATTCTCAAAACAGAAAAGAGATTATATTTATAATCATTTCCCAAAACAAAGAGGAACTTAATATGAAACGTGACCAGGTTCCCAGATCCTTTACAGTAACAGAGACCACAACTGTTCAGAGATAGGCAGAGACGAATAGCATCAACTCTTCATTTAACAAAGAACAAGAAATTGATTTCACCTGCTCCAATTTTTACTCTTAGAATGCTTCTCTTCTGGCTACTTTATTGGGAATATTTTGATGGATATCAAAAAGATATTAATTCTAATCTGAGATTCATGCAGCCTTTCTAGAAAGTTCCAAAATGAAACAAGACTTTGATCCTACACCTGAATAGGAAAAATTAGGTAATTTACCTCCCCCAGCATCTAAGTTGGGGATGCCATGAAGGATAACATAGTGCAGGAAAAGAGGGGTTGCATTCATTTTCACAGATCCAGATAGAAGGCCACTTAAGAACTGCACGTATCTGAAAACAAAAAGTTTATCTGAATTATATAAAACCACTAATACTAGGCAAATACATTACTTACACAATGGTATTTCCAGATTATGGGTAATCAATAGTATTGTGACAATGCACATAAATCCAAAATAATAATCTTCACAAAACAGCATGAAAAGACACTTTAATTTACCACTGTATTAAATCCATGGCTGTTACATTGCTATTGTTGATATCTTTATTTTAGTTGTTTACATTACTACTCTAAGTAAGAAATTAAGTAGAAGAGACAGTAAAGTCAATTGTTTTGGTACACATTCCTAATTACAACTGTAGTCTTAAATGTCTTTCACAGCAGCATGATATGGTTCCCATCCAATTTACAGTGAAGTCATCTTCATTAAAACAAGAGCAAGAAGTGCCCTCATCAGAAATCTCAAGAGCAATGCAGTCAAATAACATCTTCATAATGAGAAGTGATCTCATTCAGCACCAAACAAGAGGAAAACTACCACAGCACTGTGAAAATTATTCTATTTCTGTGATTTAATATGTGGTATGGTCACAAGCTATTGAGCAAATACATGCAAGTAAACATCACTGCTGTGTCTTTAATTTTTCCACCAGCTTTGAGTCCCTTTTTTTTCCATGCCTATGAGACAATCCTCATTTAACTTTATTCTCAGGAATGTATAGAGAAAAATCACCTTTTTTTCACCTTTATGCACAGATCTCATTAGCTGAACTCCTGGCAAAACCACAACTAAGGATATCCTGCTGAGTAACAACAGCTTTACTATCCCAGAATGGGGGTTGTGGGTAATTTAAAATAGATTTAATTTTACAGAGAGCTTGCAAAGCTCTATTTTAAATGTTAAGAAAAGGCTTTTTTTGTTGTTGTTTTCTCCGTCAGTCTTTCTGAAAGGATTTGATACGTCAAAAGCACAAATTTTACAAATTGACCCACCTAACGTGACAAAAAATATTGTGTTAAAATGTTTTGTCAGTGACCTCTCACGACTTTAATAAATTATTTACTATTACCAATGTGACCATTTTCTCTTTACCAGCTTTTAACTATTACAAAAATTAGACTGAAATTTTTGAAAACCTTTCTCAAGGTAGTGCACTTAAGGGGCCTAGAGACAGTCAGCTTATTTTTGAGAAGAGCGTTCAAACATTTATCCTGAAGGTTTGTGAGAAATTTTTTTCATATGAAGGGTCTCTATCTGCATTTCTCATTCAGAGAAATCTTCAACTGCTTATCTGAGAATGGATTCAAAATAGATCTGGTCTACAGCTACTCTTCTTGTCATTGTTACAGTACCAAATTAGCAGTAGGAAAAAGCTAAGTGACTTAGTTGCGACAATTTATTTTTATCTGGACAAAATTTGGTAGAGAAAAGGTTTCAAAATGTTAAAAATGGGTGCATTTTCATAATTTACAATTTTGAGATCCACTTATACCCATTTATACATCAACTGGGTTTTAACAAGGATATCACTAATTAATTACCCAGCAATGGTTTCAGAGAAAAAGCGTATTAAAAGGCCACTGACTGATTAGAATGGGGACAAAGGAGTATAAAGTTATCCACAAATATTAAGAGAGTTGGTTTTCCTTTCTCTACAATAAGATTAGTGGCCACTGCCAGGCCAGGCAAAGGTAGGAGAGATGAGATTTGGGATAACAGTTCTGACATAAAGTTTGGAAAACTGCCTCTGTTCTCATTAGAAATTACCCTCTTAAGTGGTAATGTGTATATGTATGAAAGATGGCAAGGGCAGCTCAAGTTCAGTACTGGTGAGGAAAGATGTTAACTCCTTCAGTCAAGAAGGAAACCGAGTATCTCTGAGGCCCTCCCACCGGCAGTTACCCCCAGAAGAATTAAGTAAGTGTCCTTAAAGGGGATGTAGGAAAGACAGATTCAATCATTTATACCTAATGTCTAGCTTTAGGGCTCACCTACAGTTCACTTAAGTTAGTAGCTACTGAAACTTCCCATCAATATGGTTGGAAAACTACCCTGATGCACAATTCAGAGGCTGTTGTGGAGGTTCCTAGCTCTCACTGGAATATTCCTGCTGTCTAGGGCTTCTGAATGGGAAGATTAACAATATCTCTTTCCTTTTGCTGCTATGGTTCACACTTCTCTGTCTGGTAGGCAGCATTCTCAAATCCTTATTATTGAAATGCAATACACATATACACATATATGCAAGCACAAAATGGAAACAAAAAAAAAGGCCAGTGAACTTCTACTAATGAAAAGTTTATTTCAAGTCTAATGGAATGTTGTGTTACTATTTTTCAAGTTAAAAGGAGCTGTGCATGTCACCTAATGGGTTAAAAAAGTAACTGGTACGTTTTTATTTAGAGATTAACAGAACCAAAAACCTTACATTAGTTATTACTACTGGTTTTTCTATTTTAATTACTAGCAAATTCTTATACTATAAACAACTTCTAAACTACCTACTGCATGCACATGGATTAAGACAAAAAAAAAAAAAAAAAAAAAAAAAACCAGTAATTACCAAATCAAACCCAGATGATATTTTATATTTCTAAAAGAGATTCACCTATATCACAATTATTTGTCTGATGGGTATCAGTCTCTTTTGGTACTGAATTCTTCAATTACCTGTCATAGTAGATAGTGAACCCCAGAACTATTCACTTTCCAAAGTGAAATACTTTGAATCCTAATTCAACCTTTGTCATACAGACAGACTGAAAAGATAACACATCCAGATACATGAACTTGCCATAATCAATATCGCATGCTTTGACAAACACTAGCATGGACATGGGGCAAGTGCATAATCTGCAGATGATCTAAACAAGTAGTAAAAATATCTTAACTGCACACTAATCAGCATACTTCGCGTACTCATTATTGTATCACAGAAAAAATAGTTTATTATCTTGGAAAAATCAAGATTGTGACATCTCTTTGTTAATAAACAATGCAGTGAGAACCCATTTAGATAACAGTTTGGTACAAAAGGTCTCGTCTGTCTGGGACCACGTGCAGGAACTGAAGAAGAGAGCTCATCAATCAAGGAATATTAATACAAGATAAAGTGCTGCAAATTCAGGAAGCACTGAAAGATCTTGTGGAAATAGCCTCCACATAGCTGGAAAGGGACTAAGGGATGGATGCAGAAGATAATTATGACATTTCCTATTGATATAAATTAGAAACAAATTGAATACCTTCTTTGGGACGGCTGCATTAAAGCTGAAACTTTATCATCAAAGAATTTCTTCATAGCAAATCTGTCTAGAGCCTGATCAGCACTGTCAAGAAAGAGACACATGTTATTCTGCTTCAGTGTTATCTCAAAAATTCAGCAGGCTACTGCTTGAAATATGCAAAAATATTTGGAAGAAAAAAAAAGGAGGGAAGTTAAGAAAAATTAAAAAAACAAGCATCTAACTAGCAACTCTAATAATTTGGATATTGTGGACAATTGTGTTTATTCCACTGACACCTCATTCAACACCTCAAGATAGTTTCCTTCCTGAGCAAAGCATCTACATGCTTATTCAATAAACTGAACTGCATACTTCCAACAAGAATACATTGAAATCAGAATGCAAAAAATTTTGGCAGAACCAAACAGCTCAGGCTCCCAAAGAAGTATACTTGCCATAATTTTTTTAATGTGCCACTGGGAGTTCTCTCTATAAAATACAAATTCATTTTCTTTTTCAGAAAGAACTGTAGTACCAGGATGGAGGTTAATTTAAGCAGTCAGTAATTCATTTAGCCTTTGTTTCCTGTACTATGAGCCATCAAGAAGAAACTGTCTTTGAAAAAGAACTATTTTACATCAGAAACCATAAACTCTTCAAACACACAATCAAGGAACAACATATTCCAAAAAATACATTTTCTTCTATTCTTTATCCAGAATGGCTCTTATGTGGGTCTTTTTTGGGTGAAGGAAGGCAAGAGGTTACAGAAAAAAAGAAAAAGAAGTGCCAAAAATTAGTAAGAATGTTGTTCATCACATATGCCAAGTAACATGCTATGGTGATTCTTTTATATCTATTCCAGATAAAAACAATGTGTCTCATAACAGATATAGTTCACAGTTTTAATTTGCATCAGAACATAAAAGATCTGGAAGTTCCAAAATACAAGAATGAACATGTCCTAGGGTGACGTTATGATGCTTGTATCCCCAGTCAGGTGTTCTGTTTATGCTGGATATTATATTCTGTGCCTTCAAGACTGGCTCTGAGAGCAAAGGCAGGGAGAAGAAGAAGCACAGAGTTTTGTTACCAGCCTACTCTCACTCCTCCATTGTGTTCTCTGTGCACTGACAGAGCAGAACAGAACACTCCTTTGCTTTTAAGTTGGTTTAGCTAGCTGAGGCAGAGTTTGCCCTGGACTGGTTTTCTTTCCCTTTTCTTGGAACTGTTCCAACCTGTTCTAGACTAGGGACCTGGGGAGCACTGAGGGCTTGTACTTTGTGGTCTATGGGGGCCTGCTCTGGGCAGCAGCCTTTCCCAGTGCCGGAGGGATTGGTAACAGAGCGGGCACCCACAGGAGAGACTTTCTGAATTTGTTGTCTCTTCAGAGCAGCGAATGAGTTTTGTCATCTGGTATTGTTCATTTTTTTTGTGCTGGGGAGTGTTTTGCCTGTTAAATAAACAGTTTTTTTCCACTTCTCACCAAGAAAATTCTTCCCATACTGGTTGGGAGGAGGGGTCATGTAGGTTTGCTTTTGGGGGGGGGGCTCCCTTTTGGAGGTTCTCTCTCAAATCTGCCCTAAACCAAGACAACACCAGTATCTCAACTTTTAAATTCCACAACTAGTTCAACCTAAATGAGTTCAGAGGAAAAAAAACCTGCAAAGTACACATACGCATATCAGGATAAAAATGAAATTTATGCCTTTTCCAAAAATTAATCAGAAGATGCCAATTGTCTTGACTGGATGCTGGGTCAGGCTATGAAGTCAAGCCTTTTCTTCATGGGTGCTAAAAATTACATAGTGTGTACTTACAATATTCGTGACCCAAATCCTCCTTCTCACCCAATCCATCATATATCTTCATTCATCTTCACCCACACTACCATCCAGAATTTAGGCAGCCTCTTCCTAAGTGGCCAAAAACTGCTAGCACTTTGCTTGTTAAAATAGAATTTGCCAAAAATTACAAAGAGCTCTGTTTGACCTCATTAAATGTGATGACACATTATTCCTTCCTAAATGAGAAAATTTGATATTACAACATATACCTAAAGGAAGGTTGCATCAATAAAGATTTTTCATAGAATCATAAAATGGTTTAGCTTGGAAACAACCTTAAAGATCATCTTGTTCCAACTCTCTTGCCATGGGCAGAACACCTTTCACCAGACTAGGTTACTCAAAACCCCGTCCAACCTGGCCTTGAGCACTTCCAGAAATGTGGGATCCACAACTTCTCTGGACAGCCTGTTCCAGTGTCTCACCACGCTAACATTAGAGAATTTATATTTAATATCTAATCTAAATCTACTCTCCTTCAGTCTATAGCCATCCCTCACTTGTCCTATCACTGCCTTACTTTGAAAAAGTCCCACTCCACCCATCTTGCAGGCCTCCTTCAGGTACTGGAGGACCACCAGAGAGTCTCCTTGGAGCCTACTGTTCTTTCAGACTGAACAACTCCAACCCTAATTCTTAGTGTGTCTTTACAGCAAAGGTGCTAAGCATAAATTCACAGAATTTCATTAAGCCTAGATTTCTTTGGCATGTTGTTGTGCTTCAAGAAGGGAATTCCCTAATTAAGTGCTCCTACTGATGCTCTCCAAACCACACTGCTGCTTGTTCCCTCCCTCCTTTCCCCTTCCCTGCAGTGGGATGGAGAGGAGAATTGGAGGACAATGGCAAAGATCATAGGTTTTGGTCTATGAATAAGAACAATTCACTGGACACAGGAATGAGATAAGAAAATGAATACTAACAACAATACTAATGGCAGAGGGTAGAAGAAAGGAAACAGTATCTCTCACCGTGGAAACTCCCAACAATAGACAATGCTGGATGGCTCTGTCTGCCACATTTTCTCAACCCAAAGGGACCCCTTCTCCCTTGAAGGATCCCCTTCCCCGCACGCCTGGCAATGACATGAGGTGGTCTAGAATAACCTCTGGGTACTGGCCATGCTCCCTCAAGCATACTGAAAAAAATAACCCTGTCCTGGCCAGAACCAGGACACCTATGCATGCTGACAAATATGAATTTTCTTTAAGGCAAACATCCTCAAGGTCTTCCAAGTAACAATTCAGACACAGTAGATGGCACCCTTAACAGCAGCATTTGCAGTAATTTCTGCTTCTGCAAGGTTGCTGTGTACCATTTTCAAGAGTCTTGATAATGCTAGGGATATACAAATCCTAGCAGGGAAACCCCCAATCTCATCCTTACACAGAAAAGTTAAGCTTTGCATAGCAGGTGCCAGATATCCAGGAAGTTAAAGAGGGCTTCTAAGCTCACTCCTCTCCTGCAACTTCACTGGAGGAGACCTGAATTTGTTTGGGGTAAAAGGTCATACCTTTCATTGCTGGGCTTAACAGAACACCACCTGAATGTGACTGTAATGGTATATTTATAGCCAGGTACCACCTTTAAGGATGACATAATACTGCAACACTGAAATCACACCATAACAACTGTACTACCTTCACTTGACAGTTTTTGCCATTCACAATACTTCTCAACAAAATATGAAATTGTGGCAATCACTGAAGCAAGCGGTTTTTTAAGCACATATTGGTGTACACAATGCACTTAGTTGCTTGGTCCATAATTACTTATAAATTTGGTTTACCCCAATGAACACAGATTATTTTCCAGGATTCTAGTTTGCCTGACATCCATGAGTAATTTGCCATTAACCTCCAGTGATTCAAGACTCCGTCAACTACAGTAGCGGATCAGATCTATTACTGACATGCTGGTGTGATTTCAGGACCAACTTTGATTTAACCATGACATTTAGAATGTATTCTTATTTTAATATATTTATGTATATATATAAAATGTATATACGTACATTTATGTATGTGTATAAATTTAAAAAACCCCAAAGGAAAACAATGTGATTAGAATTCCAACAAAAATCCCAACAAAAATATCCAAAATGCATTTCATCCTTTTTGAGACCATTTATCGAATTGTATATTTTTTTAATAAAAATTGTCAATTGTCATTTCATAATTTGAGTACTCCAAAAGAAACAATTAAAACTAAGTAATCAGACACCTACTGCTTGAAATGACTGCAAACTCAAGTCTAGATTATTCCTTACACTTCATTCTGCACTCGGATCAATGTCTAGGAGTTCCCTATTCAAACACTCTTTCCAGATTTTAATAACAATTTTTCTCAAGTACTTAAGGAATAATTTCTCACCAATTCAAGAGGCTACTTGATGGGTGTGGCAAACAGAGAGGTTTAACAGAATAAAGATAGTACCATGACATAAAAATGGTTTCTTGCACAGTCTATCCTTCATCTGAAAACATCCTTCAGAAAAGTTTTATACAAACCAATAAAATTTCAGTTTCAAAGGGATCTTAGGCTGTCACCTAATCCAGTCTCCTACTGGAAGCAGGATTACATGAAAACTATCATGAAAACAGACTCTGTTAAGAAAGACATGCTTCAAAACTCTTTGAGAAGAAAACCTGACAAAACATTAAGCTGACAGACAGTAATCAACTAAAAGGCATTTTTCCCAATGTTTATTGGGAAAAAACCACACAACATGTATTATTCATACTTACCTTGCAGAAACATTGGTAAAGTGCATATATGATGATATGACTACACCTATCCTTCCTTTTCCTCCCTGTATTAGGAAAAAGGGAATCATAACTTATGTATTACATTATTTGGCATTATTATATTTAAGACCCATACTAAATACAATTTCAAGGCAAGAGATTCAGAGTCCTTTCTCATGTACCCTGGGTTGATGGAAAGGTGGAAATAATGGGCAGCAGCTTATCTGTCAATGTAAGCTGGCTGACAAATGACATAAAAAACACTAAGTAGGATTTCTATGTGCATGCCTGTCAAATCTTACCAATTAAGAGGAATCAACTGGGAAAAAAGAAAAAAAATTGTATGAACTACTCTAATTTTGTATTATTTTTTTAGTGATCATTCACAACAAGTCTAGACAATGCTGCAATTCCCAGGATGAAATGCAATAAAATACCTATTTTAGAAAAATAGACCTTTCTGGCATGTTTTCACATTTTTACCTCCTCAACACCTGAGATTTATAGTAACTGATTTTCTTTGGATAATTTCAAAAATGTTCTAAAGTATTTCTAAATAATTTACATGACAAACACAGTAAAATTTAACATGCAGTAATTCTCACAGATTTCAAAATATTTTCAGTCTCTCAGCTGACAGTAAGTGGCTGTAACTATCTCTATGGCTGGAAACCTATATTAGCAAAAGGCATTAATCAAAAACATGCATTATCAATTTCTATAGGACTGTGTATACCTAGAAATACTTTGCTCCCTTTTGTGCCAAGTATGGGCGTTTTCCTGGCTGCATTCCTGCAACTAGTAAGATTTCAAGTGCTTCATACATTGAATAACATTCTGCCTGGAAGAATTTGGGACTGGAGACTACACAAACCGGATTTGAAGTTTCCATCCCATTATCACTATCATTTTGTTTAGAATAACATCTGCCAGTGAAACAGAGATAGGTTTGCATCAAGTGTCATGAACGCAGCTACCAATCCAGTTCTGAATTCATTTTATCCAAATTTAACTAAGGTTTTTCTTTATTTTTGCTTATTGCAAGCAAGCAGGAGGAAGCAATACAGCACGCTGGTAGCTTTACTCTAAGGCACTGCAATGATGCTGTCAATTAAAACCTTTCAAAAATATCCAGAAGGTCCTTAATGACCTCATTTCCTACAACCACATACAGTCTAAAGAGATGATGTGTGATACAGTACCTATCTTTTTCCAGCAACAAAATTAATGAGTGTCACAGAACATGGAGAGTTTTCCATCAAGCAGGAAAAACCTCAAGCTTCTAAATACATTTACAGAAGTAACAGTGATCTTTGAAGGGTGAAGTAACATTGGTTCATGCTATACCTGCAGCAAGGGCTAGGACATAAGTCATAAAAAAGAAATCTTTAACAAGAATGGAAGATCAAAGGATTTAAGCTTATTTACATCAACAGAACATCTGGCACACTGTTGTCAACACTGAAAACAGATTAACTTTTTATTTTTTCACACAAGAAGAGTAAAGGACAATTTTTTTGAAAATGAATACAAAGTCATCCACAGCACTTACTCTGCAATGGATCACCACCACGTGTTGAGGATCATTGTCCAGCCAGGACTCCATAGCCTTACAGATGGTGCACAGCTTATCAAGAAGTGGAGCATGGAAATCAGGCCACCCCACATCCATAATCTGCAATTAAACAAGTAACATTTACGAGAGACACCTTGACTCCAGTACCACATACTAAAATCTGGATTCAAATAAATGTCATGGTTGAAAGTCTTCACAACTTTTCCCATCACAGATAATCATGCAATTCAATTGTCTTGATGCTTACAGGTCTCTAAAGGGGAAGAGGGAATTTGTGTTTTTTTAAGATACTAGTACTTTCCTAAAAACAAATAAACAAAAAACTTCCTCCTCCCCCTCCTCACCCCATCCCAATCTCACCAACCATTTAGAAGTGACAACATTTCTGAAGGTCTTGATTTTTTACATTATTTTTCATTTAGAATTTCTGGTATTTTATACCAGTAAATTCAAACAGAATTAGAGCAAATAATGATTTTTGATGGCTTTAATTTTATTTTCAATTTATTTCCTTCATGTGCAACATGATTAAACATGAAAAAATTTTGTTCAGATTTTCTATTCACTATATAATACAGTTTACTAAGTTTATTTTTATTATATGCATAGTTAGTAACAAAACATATGCAATACATACATATTATGCATTCAACATATGCCTAATATTAAAAAATTCATCCTTCGTGATCAAAAAAGCATGCAAAAAGTTAAATTTGAGAGAGGTACTTTCCTCAGGTAGCTTATCTCTGTAAATCTACTGCTATAAATACACATCTGGGCTGCTCTATCTGGCCTTATAACAGATGCTGAAGTGTACCTGCACACCATTTCTTACAACAAACAAACACATCAATTAGTGAGAAGGAACAAGAGTCAGATGTCAATCATTATGAAATTCTTTATTACTCTATTGTGCAGAGAAGCAACTACTCAAAGATAGTACAAAAGGGAAGTCCTTATCTGAATCAAGTTCACTAGCTTCAGCTAACTCTGTGTTACAGTACACAACTCCAGTATCCTGTGACTGCACAAAAAAAGTATACTTGAAGTAAAATTTGTATCACCCAATAGAAGTTTTTCAGAAGTCACAACAGGCTTATGGTCCTAAGAAAATAACAAGAATAGCTGTGTAAAACACAGAACTAACAGACACAAAACAGAACTTGAGAAAAAATAAAAAGGGATGCATGTGGGATGTTTTAGTATCTTTCAAAACAACTTCTCTTACTCTGTATATCAACACTTGCATAGCTTCAGGGTTTGTCAGGCCATTTAAGTTGTATTTAACACTAGAAAACTATGTTACTGAAGACAGTCGTTACCTTTGGGTTAAGCTTGCCAAGGTCATACCTCTTTTCAGAGAGGTTTAATATCTGTTCAGAAAGAAAGAAAAAAATATTAACCATCAAGAGTATATAATTTAAGTGGTAAATAGATGTATTTGAAACATAAAAATTACCAGAAACTACAATGATATGGCTTAACATTTGACATTAGGTAGCACTAATGTATTTTAGATATTCAGTTATTTTACAATGTAACTAAAGCTAAACTTAAATGCACATTTTGAAAAAGGACAATTAAAATTCTACTACATCTTATTTATTTCACATGGTTTTGAGTCAGAGGTATACTGAGAGACCTGGCTACTATGAAATATAATGATGACCATAAGAATTAACAATAAGAAGTCTGAGAGGGTGGTACATTGTTAAATATTTGAATTTGCATTCCTGACAAGTATTGGTCTATCAAAACTTTGCAGGGAAGATATGACATACCTATTTAATTATAACTTAGACTGTGAGGTTTTCCAACTCTTCTGTTAACCCACTAAATAGCAAGCTACCCTCTACTTACTGTTTAATAAGGAGTAAATGAAAAGACAGACTGCAAAATGAACAAAAGAAAGCAGTGTATACAAGAATAACTGACTCTTTCATTAGAAAGTGCCTTAAATTAGTATCAATCAATAACAAAAAGTTGAAATACCATTACTCAAGAACTGAAACAATGCTAATGAGGCAGATTCTCCTTCACAGCATGGCTATTTTACATGCCAAGTTATGTACAGATTGCATAATCCTCATTAATTACTCTGAGAGAAAGGAATAAATAGGTCATAAGCATGAGAATGAGTAAATATGACGCAAGTCCCTTATATAGTTTAGTACTACCCAAGGACAATCCAAGAACCCTTTTCTAAAGTGCAACAATCTTCTAAAGTATTACCCTTTTGCATTAACCAGCACTCTCATCAGCTGTCTAAGCAAGGAAGCCAAAAACTGAACAGGTTAAAGCAACTACATCACTGTACTTATCCTTCCTGAAATGTCAATAGTAAAACAGGAATTAAATGAACATTGTCTTCTATAAATGACACAAATTTTTTTTGTAATTTTCTATTAGCTTTCCTAGTTGGAAAACAAAGTAACAGAGAGGTGTAGTTCTCAATACTGAATTCTTAAAATGAGTGCTAACGCTATATTAAGAAATCAATTACCTAAAATTTTCCACAGAAAAAGAAGGGGTATTTGACAAAAATTTTTTTATTCATCTTTCTTATTGTATTTATATTTAAGAACAATTAAGAATTCCTGTGTCAGGATACAGTCGTGCTCATGATGGGTATTTGTAACTGCTGGGTCAGACACCAAACTCAAAGACGCTGTTGTACCCAAGTCCCCATCAAGCTACAGTGATCACATCGAGATACTCCAGGAATTCTAACAGCACAGAACAGAAACAAGAAGGTGCAGGAACCAACATTTCGCATACAACAAAGCAGGACATCATAGAAGCCTTTGAAGAGAAATATATGGTATAAATAGATGCCATTGTGTGTTGTTTTTGGCTCAGGTAGAGTTCATTTTCTTCACAGTACCCCATATGGGGCTGTGTTTTGGATTTTTATTGAAAATGGTGTTGATAAAACAGGGATGTTTTCATTATTGTTGAGCAGTGCTTACACAGTGTCAAGAGCATTTTTTTTTCAAGAAATTTTTTTCTTTCCAAGAGCCTTCATACCACCCCACCAGTGAGTGGGCTGGGGATGCATAAGAAGCTGGGAAAGGACAGAGCCAAGACAAGTGATCTCAACAGACCAAAGGGATTTTCTATACCATATAACATGCTCAGCATATAAGCCAAAGGAAGGAGGGAGCGGTGACATTCAGAGTGGTGGTGTTTGGCTTCCCAAGTCATCATTTTGGCTTATGAAGCCTGGCTGTCCTGAGGATGGTTGAACATCTGCCTGCCCATAGAAAGCAATTAATAATCCCTTGTCTTGCTTTGCTCATGTGTAAAGCTTTTATTTAACCTGTTAAACTCATCCTATGTATTTTCTCACTTTTGCTCTACTGATTCTCTCCCCCATTCCACTGGTGAGAAAGCAAGGGAGCAGCTGTGTGGGGCTAAATTACTGGTTGGGATTAAACCATAACACAGTGGAAGATTAACTGCGTCCCTTTTGGTCCCCCTTTTGCATATCCTAGGTCTACTTACTTATATTTTGGAACAAGAAAGAGGAGCATTAACTTCAGTTTCTAATTTTCATCTGTTGGAAAAGTCATGTTTCTTCTGGGAACCAAAGCCTACAGGGAATATGGTTTTTTAGGACATCAAAGCAGAGAAAAAGTTCACTGTAAGCTATCAACAGACTTTAATCTCTGGTTTCAGACTGTCAAAGTATAATCCTCTACTGTTAAAGAAAATTAGATACTTAGGGGGTTTTTTTCATATTCTTCATACCATACAGGAATCAAGCAGGAAACAATGTGTTCACTCCCTTCACTGTAGTGAAAGGAAAACAACTAGAAAAAAATGACAAATGCTGTAGTATATGTTCTGTTATCTGAGACCCTGACCCAATAGAAGAGTAGAATTGTTCCTATCAACTTCAGCAGGATTGCTGAGTTGTATACCATTTCATGGAGGTTTTGGGGTTTTTTCTTTGCTGATTCACATGTGCCTCTTGAGCAGGCTGAAGAGGTGTTCAAAACATGAGAAACAAAAGGTAGTTTAAAAACAAGCTCTCTGAATCTACAACCTGGCTGTGCTTTGTCAGGTTATTTTACAAATTTGTAGAAACACATTTGGAGTAGATGGCATAAAGCCTTCTTTGTATCAAGACAGCTGATTTCCAAAGTACCCATTAGAAAATAAATTAATAAATAGAACAGAACTAAAACAAAAAATAAAAAAATCCCAACTTCGCAGAAGAAACTGACTACAATCCCTTTCAGAGGCAGAGACTACAATCCTTCTGAGACACTAAACCAGACTTACCATATATCAGATTTTTGTAATACAGTCAAGCATTAAGTGAGATTAAGAGTAGTGGAGAGACTACAAGCTTACACTGTTATTGCATGGAAATGGCCAGAGAACAGGTGAATTTGAACCTATAAAGCTTTACACACTGGTCACGTTCACACTATTACTATCATGTGCCTTATAAGCTACCAGTGCCTGATGGAAGGGAAGCCAAGGGCAGCAAGGCAGCATGCTGAGGACTTCAGTCCACATCACAAGCTCAGTCTGGTTTATAATGCACCTATAGCATCTCAGTTTGTGAGAAGAAGATAATGTGTTTAAATCATGAGTACAATCTCTCCAGCAACTAATTTCTACTCTGAATGGAGTTCATGTTCCTGAAGTCATGGATTTGATTCTAACAATTAAAAAGACAGTACAAGAAAAAAAAGTAAATAAAATATTGGCCTTGTTTCAAATTCACCCTCAGAGAGCAAGCTGAGACAATACATGCCATGGCAGTAGCCAGTAAACAGCACAGGAGATTAACAGCTTTTTGTCAACATTAAAAAAAAAATCTGCAGAGAAAGCTCACTATATATTTGTTAGATTTCCTATAGAAAATTAAATGGCATGAAAAATGCAGCTAAACAAATTAATGAGGAAGAGCTGGACAGAATACAGCAACAGCAACCCTACTTTTAAATGTTGCCTTCACAAGTGAAGACATGACAGTGACAGACTATCAGATACCCACTTGAGAACCCAGATGTAGCTCACTGCTACAAAGAACACACTCCTCATTGCAGGGTATCTTTTTAGAGCATGCTTTGGACAATGAAAACAGTCAGTGAAATTATTCTTCAGCATTTGACTACATGTTATCACCACACCAACACAGAGACTGCAATGCCCCAGCAAAAAAAGTGTTTTCAATATCTAGCCGCTTAAAACACTACTGAAAATCTTGAACTTGGCTTACAAGGCTGTAAAGATGGCCCAAAGAGTGAGTTTTCGTTTATAAATGTTTATGTGGACATAAAGTAGTCTTCCTGCATGACAAAGATGTGTCACAAATGGCTGATCTTTCACATACCAAGTAATTATCACCATGTTTGGATTTGAGCATTTGTGTTACTTCTTGTAGATTGTGGAAGTAAGTTTCCTCAGAACAGCCTGCAGCGAACGATACAGCAATAATCCGCTCTGTGATGTAAGTGAGGTCAAGTTCAGAGCCTTCCTCCATAATGTGATCAAAGTCTGCACTTCTGGAAGAAATTAGATGTGGCAGTTTAGAGCACTGTAGCCAAGAAGAAACATGGCATATTAATGAGAGGAAATTGCAACTTAGACTCCTACAGCCAAGCATCAGATGTTTCCAATAATTTCATTACAATTACAACTCACTAAATGCCTACAGAGCTCAAAGTATTCAGTTCAGAAGACAAATGGAGTTCTTCACCAGAATTCTTCACATCAAAACTGTAGTGAAAAAATCTCTGCAACCAATAATGTGGAAAATTAATACAATCAATTTGACAAATACTACCACAACTAATTTGTTAGTCAAATAGAAATGTATAGGTACTTCTGTCTGTACACATCTCTCTGTAGGATTCTGCAAATGCTTTACAAATTGGAAGTTTGACCAGCAATCTGTAAAACACTGCAGATCTTGAAGGCTGCTCTGAGTAAAACTGAAGTGAATCTAAAACTAGTCCCCAAAATACAACAGACATGAATGTGATTAAAATAATTTCACTGGTTAGTCTACAAATACTTCTCTTTCTTTTCCAGGTGATGGAACTTTAACACAACTCTGTCCTTCTTAATAAAATATCAGAAGATCAGCTCAGTAAATATGTCTAGTTGTTTTCTCACAAAGGCATTGCAAAAATGGAACTTGCATACCAGATCATATCTTGCAGAAGACTGAACTCAGAGAAATCACAACCACAAATAACAAGCCTAAGCCCATCACCACACCACATAACACTGCTACATAAATTTGAAAGAAATACTTGCCGTGATACTTTGTCACAACTGAAAGATGAGTTCTTCAAAACACTGCTGGAATTCTGGAACAAAGAAAGCAGAAAAATCAATCTAGAACCTTAACTTGCTGTCACTGATGTCAATGTTTCTACCTTTTTTCCTCATTTATGATTTGAACAAGAGGATACAAGAGGATCATTGCCCTGTTTTGAATGCAAACACTGTGGTTATGCCCAAATTTTGTCTAACTTTCTATTACTTCTTCCATCTCACCAATGCCAGAAAAGTCTTTTGTGACATTTTTAGTGCTCTTCTTGGCATTAAAATTAGAGAAAACATAGCAGGCTTTGAGAAAATGCAAATTGAATTTTTGTATAAACCTGCAAAAGAAGTTCCTCTCCACTGATTTTCTTATGACAATATTGAAATATATACTTATGTATCAGACTCCTGAGAATTTATTCCTGAGAATGTGTAGTAGTTTACTTTTGTAGTTCCATTTCTTCAGTAATAGTAGGAATGAAAATTGTAAAAATATACTCCCACATGAACCATAGTAATAGAATTTGTCTCACCTAATTGTAGTGGTCTTAGATTTAAGCTCCAGCGTTATTATCATCCAAGCTCTGTATGTAACAGAGAGAAAGAGACATCTGGAGGGGGCAGTATTTCTTCCTTCTAGGACAGGTTTAATAAGAAAAAAACTACAAAAAGACTGCTACTGATATACAAACATTGAATAAAAATAAATAATATTATTCAATTTACATTTAGCCATTTCTATATATACTTTTTTAGCTTGTGTATATTTTATTTTATGTATTTTTAATTCATGTGTTTTGTATATTTTTTAATTTAGCACCTAGATACATTTTGATACAGAAAAACAAAAGTTCAATTTAGTATCATGTATCAGTAAATCAATAAGAGAAAGAGTACTCCCTGCCCTGAATTCATGCTTAATATACAGACACATGCACATAAAAGCTTATTTATCAAGAGTTAGGGCTCAAAAACTGATAAACTCTATCAATTTTGGCTATACACAAGTGTTCCCAAACCAAATAAACTGTGTTTGAATGGAAGATGTCTTAGAACTTTCCATAAAATGATGCTGTGTATCAAAATCTGGGAATAGCTAAGACACATATAAGCATGAAAGTGACACATTTTCTTTCAGAATTTCTCAAAGTCAACTGTTCTGGCAAATTTTAAAGCACAACTGATGGCATGAGGTGCACCTCATGTAAGTGTTTGGTCCCAGTTTCACTAGTTTCTGTCTTTACGTAGACAACAGAAGAGGAGGAAACTTCATGGTATTTTCAGCCTCTTTTTTACCCAATCCCTTCTTAGAATTTTAAAGGCTTTAGATAATATACCATGGGTGCAAAAACAAGTAAATAACTATAACTGAAATTCAAGACATAGCTTTTGGTGTATTTTGCTTTGGTTTTGTAAACAGAAAGCAATTAGAAGCAGGACTTCCTTGGTTTCTGTTGGCAACAAATGTATCCATTGCTTAAAAGTACTTCTTGAATTTACTAAAAATTTGATGACTAAACTGTCATGTATCCTGAATAATCAGACACTTAAAACAGCTTCCTCTGGTAAGAAAGTTAGTGATAAAATCATTCTCTATTTCACACTGTTGTGCCAGATAAACTAGAATAAATCCTAGTAGCATTCAGTGTATAAGCATATGAACAACAACATAATGCCACTAGCAAAAAAAAAAAACCATTAGTGAGATATATATTTACTGTATGCATGCTGTGTCACTAAACCATCAGAATACAAGTTTCCCCAAACAGGATTCAGCAGCATAGGGCAGACCATCCTTAAAGTCAAATCATCTCCATCCAAGTGAAAACAAATAAACACTGTTTTCTGCTTGCTATACACTGGAGGGATAATGGCAAAAAATTTGACTAACCTTCAAAGATAGCAAATGCCATCTGGCATATCCCAGAATGGACAATTACACAGAATATCTCACAAAACTAGGTATGATTTTCATTTCCTGACAACTAACAGCAGTAGAGATGATGCAGGGCAATGAAAAACAGTGGTTCCATATGGAGTGTTTAAATCACACCTGGCTAAAAATTCAGAGTTGCAACTACAATAGATTTGATAAAACTAGTGCTTGATATGTTGTGAGTAGGACAGACCACCCTGAGATTATTGTTCTGTTAATTTCTCCCCATGATTCTTGTTCCCCTGCTTCCCTGGGAATGCCGGGCAATGCTGCCATAACCTGTACATCTGACAGTATAACCAGTCATATAAGAAACAGTTTTCAATAAAGTAAACACCTTCCATTCACGTATTTATTCAGTTTTAAGCAATTTTTATATTCCAAACAATACCACATAGAAGTTCGTAAGCAAGTGCAAGAAAACATTTGGTCAAATTTACCTGCATTTGTATGAAGTAAGCAAGTACAGGCAATAGCTTCTCAACAAACAACCACCTTCTCTCCAGTCACAGATTTGAATTAATAAGCAGATTCATTGCATCCAAGGTACTGTGTCATTGCCCTTTTCCAGAAAAAACTCAAGCCATACAACTCTCTGCTTTGACACACTCTATATTCCTTCTTTCACCATCATTGGCTCCTGTACCTAGTACTGGACTCATCACAGAGCTTTTGATGCCAACTTTCTCAAAAATTAAGTTCTCAGACAAAACCATCTGTATTGGTTTTGCACAGCCTGGTATTTGGTAGCAGAGGAGCCACAAAGATGGCTCCTGTGGGAAGCTGCTGGAAAAGTCACAGGTTTTGCTCCTAGTCAGAGAAGAGGAGGAAGTGAGAACATGTGAAGGAAAACAACACAGCAACACCAAGGTCAATGGAGAAGGAGGGGGAGGATGTGCTCCAGGCACTGGAGCCAAGATTCCTCTGCAGGCTGTGGAGACCATGATGAAGCAGGTTGTCCCCCTGAAGTCCATGGGGGATGTAGAGATCCACCCACAGCCCATGGGGGAGGTGTCCACGTCGGAGCACGTGCCTGTCCTCCAGGCATGTGGATGCCTAGAGGAGGCTGTGATCCAGTGGAGGACCCAGTGGAAAGAGAGGGTCCCTGCTTCCAGGCTGGAGCAGCCTGTCATTGGAGGACTGCACCCCATGGAAAGAGAGACCCATGTCACAGCAGTTTTGGAAGGACTGTGCTCATTGGAGGGACTCACATTGCAGTAGGCGCAGAAGGCAGCTGCTCATGAGAGTGGACCCACACCAGAGAAGTTCATGGAGAACTGTCTCCCATTGGAGGGACCCACAGTCTCACAGGGGAAGGACTCCTCTCCCAGAGCAGCAGGAGAAAATCTCGGTTATGAACTGACCAAAATCTCCATGCCCTGTCTCGCTGCGCTGTTGGTGGGAAGGAGGGAGGGGCTGGGGGGAAACAGTGTTTTAAGGGCTTATTTTACTTCTCATTGTCTTCCTCTAATTCTGTTAGTAATAAATTTCACTTTGCAACCTTAAGTTGAGCCTCTTTTGCCCTTGAAGTGTTTTTTCCTGCTCCTTATCTAAACTTGTGAAGCCTTCATCAACATTTTTTCCTTCTCCTCTGCTCACTGAGGCAGGGGAAGGTGAGCAAGTGACTCTCATGTGTGCCTGGCATTGGGCCAGTGTCAAACCATGACACCATCCCAGAGTCCCTTACAACCACGACATGATACAGAAGCTAAGAAACAGTCCCATATTTAATTCTGAATCATTTTCACCAGCTCACAACAGTACCTAGACATGTTTCCCAGTACAACCTGCTATTAGTGCAAGTGTAGAAAGTGAGCCAAACAGTCCAATTAAACTAAAGCGCAGATTGAACAAAGTGGACTTTTGAGATCAGCCCAGTTTATTCACCTTCTTCTGACACCAAAGATGGATTTCCTGGCTTGCCTCAAATAGCAAGCTTGTGCTTGTCCCACACAGCAAACAGCATCTCATATCTTTACAATCTTACTTTAAGCCGCTTCACAGCTTCAGAGCAAAAACATGACAAAGATCATGTATAGGCCATCTCACACCATGTGGCACAGAGATGGCATTGAGACAACTTTTCCACAAGTCCAGAAATAGAAGGAATAAGAAATAACCTTTCTGCTAAATCTGCATCCCCTGTCCTATTCTGAAAGGCTTGAGAAGGCTACTCAAAGAAATTGAGACAATCAAGTAAAAAAAAATGTCTGAAAAAAAAAAAAAAAAAAAAGTTGTCGGATTTTCGGCTGTTTAGATGGTCCGGGAAGGCCCGAGGTGGCCTTGGG